TGCATCAGGAACCGGCAGTCCTTCTCCATGGGGTACTGGGCGTATAGCTGATGGAATGTTTGGATAATGCACAGTCCACTTTTTCTTCTTTGACACACCTTTCCCAACTGGAGGCACCATGCAGAAGTAACAATTGCTGGTATGATCTGTTGGCTCTCTCCAAATCATTGGCACTGCAAAAGGCATAGATTTCCTTTTCCTGTTCAACCACTGGCGAAGTTTTGTTGCACAAGTGTTGCAGCATATGTGTGGGGCCCACCTCTTGTCCTGATCTCCAATTTTGCAGCCAAAATAAAGGTGATAGGCTTTCTTAACCATAGTGGTTATACTGCGCTTTTGTGATGCAAAAGTCACTTCACCACAAACATAGCAGAAGTGATCTGCACTGTTCACACAAGTACGAGGCATCTCTGCTCACTTTGGCTAAACAGAAATGTGTCCCTTTGCAAAATCAAACACTGACAAATAAGAGAGCACGACACTGTATGATTTCTAGAGCTGATAGAGGGCAATTTGTTCAGCAGAGTGATGTAAGCTTCGTTATGATTGCATCATCCATGACTTCTAGGAATAACATGATGCAATTCATATCATGTATGACGCAATACCAGCTTCAGATTGCATCATTCATTGTTTTGCCTAAAAAGCAAGTACTGTCCAAACCCAATCATAGATTTATTCATAGATCCAGTCAAAGATGTATTTTAGTCATTTCTGGTTTAAATTGAGATCCCTTCCCTTTATAACTCACTTATCCTCCCCCATTCCCAAGTCAAGGGTCGTATATACTGACCCAATAGCATATCTTGAAAACTAGAGCCAATCAACAATTTTAAGCATCATTTTCGTTCTCAGTGACCCAGAATTAGTAAAGTTTGACTACATTTATTTCAGAAGCATTTTGGCTGTAGAGCAGTGTTACGTGTCCCTGTATGGCTGGACAGCCTGTAAGGTTGGAACTTCTTTTTAACTTGCTGCTGCTTCATGCCTGCCTCTCTCTTTTGTGCCAGGATACTGCAGTGTGAGTCGTAAGCAATTGTTTTCAGACTTCTGCAACACTCAAACAGAAAGACGAGTAAAGGGAAATTATTCATTGTCAGAGTTCTCTGACTTTTGTGGTTGAATGTTACAACTTGAAGGTGCTTACTTGTAATATTTTTATGTCATTTCCTTTTCTTATTGGAGTGTTTAAAAAAGAAAGAAGGGGGGGGGAGAGGTTATGGGAGGTCTGAGCATTTCTCTGACCACAGGTTTTTAAAACTTCTATAAAATTACTTTCTGGGTTCTTTTCCCAGTTTTTCCTGTGACCTTGGGCAATTCACTTAATCTCTGTGTGCCTCTGTTTCCCCTCCCACCCTTTGTCTTTTCCATGTAGATTGTAAGCACTGGAGGGCAGGGACAGTCCCTTATTATGTGTGTTGTAGAGCCCATAGCACAATGGGGCTCTAACCTCAGCTGGGATCTCGAGGTGCTACTGCAGTCGAAATAAAAGCTACAATAATCTGTATGACAATGACGGTCTGTATTTTGGGAGCTTTGAAAGCTATTTCATGATCAAATAGGTGCTACAGAATACATCTGGTATGCGCTGTAAATACAGACATGTAAGATAAAAAAAATTAGGAAAAAATTTATTGGACATGTGCAATAAGCAACTTGACATTTTCAGTTTTATGGTTGTAAGTTAAACCCAAAAGTAAGTGGCCTGAGGGCCAGCAGTATTTCTTTTTAACAAACTAACTAACAACAATACCTTTTTAATTGCAGCAGGAAAAAAAGCACCTGAGATTCTTTTTTTTTTTGTAGCTTCTCTCCCATTTATAAATGGGCAAATAAATGTTCCTGAACAAAGCAGTTTGCTTTTGAGTTGAGGTGCTCTCATGGTAAATTTTGTTCTGGAACAAATTTCAGCAGCTGGGTAAACCAAATTGAGGTGTATAACTTTTAAAAATTAACACATCCTTAACTACAGCAGTATAAAGGGCTCCCCTACAATTAATATCAGGGTTTAGAAGACGATAATCCTGTTCTTAAAAAAACAGCAAAACCCTTTTTCCTTAGAGGGCTTTATTGAGTCATTTAAAAAGAAAACCTCTGCAATATCCTTTTTTTTCCCCCAGTTTAACACCCAGTCAGTTTCAAGGTTAACATTTATTTGCCGTGAAAATAATTTCCTGGGTTATCATGTGATATTTAAAAATAATAATCCGATACTGATGGACTACAAGCAGGCTAAAACATATGACAGTCTTCATGCTGTAATTCTTCAGCACAGAGAGAACCCTGCTAAATATGGCTGACTGAACATATATTGAATCATTTATATTGGCCACCATACTGTAAAGGACATTGCACAGTAGGAGCATTGCTATAGACTCCTCGGTAGCACACTTCATATGCAAAGAGAATTCACACTTTCCACTGGTGAAAAGTACGTTTTGCAAGGTTTGTTCTAAAATGCAAAGGAAAAAAAATCTTAAGTGTTGCTCAAGATGATACTGTGCCTTGGATTTTCTTTGTAGTTTTAAAAGATTTATAGCTGTTTGTGCAAAAGTGATGTCGAAAGAGGAATGTATCCTGTATCCTCTTCTTATAGCTCACCAAGTCCTTTTGTGAAATATGACGTCTAGCACCTGAAGGTCATGGCAGCTTGCCATCAAAAATTAGCTTCTATTTCTGTTTCTTTTGTCTGGTGAACTGACCTGAGAAATCTCTCTGTTGGCTGCATTAATAAGGGGGGGGGGGAGATAATAAAGATCTAAATATAGATGTAATTGTTTAGTGTATATTTCTCACTCTTCATTGTGTTTATTAAAATGAGAAAGACAGCAATGGTTAAAATAGAACTGAATTAATAGCTATGGTCACAAACAACATTTGGCTCTGCAGTTACTAAGTGGCATTCTCTTAGAATTAGAAATAATAAAACTTGCCCAATGCAGTGAGAAATGAAAGGATGTCAACCTAGTTAAGTGCCAAATTTGACCTCTCTGACTGAAATGATCATTATACGTTGGGGAATAGTCTGTTATTCTTTATTTATTATTTGTATTATGGTAGTGCCTAGACCTGTAGATTGACTATCTAGTTCTTTTAAAATCAGCATTCAATTGCTTACGTAAAAAAAAAAATCACACTATTTTAATGTGAACACATGAAAACTCTGCTGCAACAGTTAACTGATATATTTTGCCTCTGTTTGCAACAGCAGTCTACAAAAACAGTTGCCAGTCACGCTTGGTTAGGTGATTACTTTTTTCCATCACGGCTGTTGATGGCATAGTTCTAACACGGTTTTCCTGTTGAGTGTGAACAAGGATGTTTTTAAAGAACTTCATTAGCCTTAACCATATTGTAGAGTATGGGTCAAATATTTCTCACTTGTGTACTGTCATTGACTTCAGTAGGACTATCTGCATGAAATATGATCAACAGGATTTGCCCCGTGCTCCTAAGTGGTCAACAGCAATATATCTGAACATAGTTGTAACATGATTTGCAACCTTCTTTCGTGTAGCTGCAATCAGTGTTCTAACCGTAACCATATCTGTAAATATTTTCAAACATAATTGTGAGCTGTTGCATGGTTAAGACACAACAAATGCTATTCGCAGAGCCATTCACCAGGCACATACTAGCTGATGGAGCTGATATATACACATGGAGAAATACTCAACAGGAGGTCATGTTGGCTTTTCTTCTGCTATATTAGAAATGCATTAAAAATTCTAAGTGAGATGGACAAAATTGACAGGGAAAGAAATGTCCTTGTGGATTTGTTGAATGAAAAAGGGGGGGAGGGGTCAATAAAAACTAAACACACATTGCCGTGTCCCTTTAAATGAAGAAGTATTTAATTGTTACATATTGTCAGGTTTATCACAAAGTGTGAACAATTTATTGCACTCTTTATGACTGAGAATTCCAGGGGAACCTAAAAGCTGTTAAGCACCCATCTCCCACTGAAATTCAATAGGACTTGAGTGCCTAACTCCCTTTGGCTAATTTGAAAATCCCAGCCTATTTACATCATTATTCTCATATGAACATAGACTGAAAGGCTACTTTGAATTCGGAAGAGACTCAACATTGCATGCTACTATCAAAGGAAGGGCCAACAGTTTCAAATATGGGTTCACTTCAGTGAGAACTATGGCTACTCAGCAGCTACCATATCAAAATAAGGTCATTTATTTAGGTACTTGATTGTGGATATAGGTGTCTGATGTTAGGCATCCATGTTTGCAAATTTTGAAATTCCATTACAACAGCTACCTCCCCGCATTGATAAGGTCACATTATGTGTTGTTCCTCCTATGTTACCCTGCTCTAAGGCCATTCTTTTTTTCAATAGAAGAGGAGTGAGAGCTATCCACTAGACCTCACTGGAGCTTACATATACTTACTTCATTGGGATTGCTATCTTAAGGACAACTCCAAAGAAAACCTTGTAGCCAGATCCTCAGCTGGTGTAGCTTCATTGACTTCAGTGGAGCTGCACCAATTTACGCCAGCTAAGAACCTGACCCTTGACATTTAATTCTGATTTTTAAGTTTCCTTTAGGCTCTTGTAACCTTGTAAACCTCTCAGGTAATTGTTGCTTATAGAGTCTAGAACTAAACGCATGATTCTCAGGCATATTTTGTCACAGAGATAAAGTGATTGTTGTATGCTTTTGTAAAGCTAAGTTCCTCTTAGCTAGTTCATTCTGTATAGTCTCTTCTTATAGCAGTCTTAGTTCTATATTAAGTTTTTTGCTGCTGCTGCTGCTATTATCTATCTATCTCTCCGTCCATCCATCTGAAAGCAATCACTTGGCAAGCACTCTGGGAAACCATATTCCATGGGTTAATTTATATGGGAAAATGTCCCATGTGTTATTTTTAGTAAACGGACATAGAAAATGAACCATATAATTAATTCATGCTAATGTCTGTGTGTGTATAGATATATCGATGTAATATTAATATATAATTTTTTTTTATCATTTTTAAACTAGAAAATGACAGATGGAGAGATCTCAGCAGGAAGTATCCACTTCAAATTGAGCAACCTAGTACCATCATCTGGGACTGTCTGCCTGATAAAAGTGAAGATGGCTCAATATGGCACAGAGAGGCAGCTAACACTTGTTCAGTGACCAACTTGATCAAAGACCTCAGTCTTAGTGATCATAATGGCAACCCATCAGCACCTCCCAGCAAACGCCAGTGTAGGTCACTCTCTTTTTCTGATGAAATGTCTAGCTGCAGGACATCATGGAGGCCTTTAGGGTCAAAGGTCTGGACTCCTGTAGAAAAGAGACGGTGTTATAGTGGGGGAAGTGTCCAGCGCTACTCCAATGGCATCACCACCATGCAGCGGAGTTCAAGTTTCAGCCTCCCTTCAAGGTCAAACATGCTTTCCTCATCATATGACCAGTCTGGATTTAGCAACAAATTTGGATGTCAGCCATGCCAAGGGCTGAGGAAGTCAACCACCTGTGGGCAGGCAGGTGACATCTGGGGTTATGATCACAATTCTGTAGATGGTAACCGGGTGGACATGCAGAGGTCTCTCTCCTGTTCACATGATCAGTTTTCCTCTTCAGAATATTGTGCACCCTCAGCAAACAGCACACCTGCCTCAACACCAGAGCTGATGAGACGCTCCAACGGGCTGTCGCGAAGCCGATCGCAGCCATGTGTCCTTAACGATAAGAAGGTTGGAGTTAAACGACGACGGCCTGAGGAGGTTCAGGAACAAAGACCTTCATTGGACCTTGCCAAGATGACTCAGGTAAGACATACTTACATTACTAACAGGCAAACATGGTGGCACAGACATTTACAGAACATAATTGAACATTTATGTGTGGACAGAACACAACACTAAACAGGCAGCACCAACATGGGGTTATTTTTCAATCAACAGAAGCCTGAATTTTAATTGTTTCCATTTGGGTTAAAATCCATTTTCTTCTGACTCGGCTGTATTAATCTGCATTAAATAGCTGTGATTGTTATGGATACGTTTGTTCCTTTTGTTAGAGCAGAAAACTTATTCCTGTCCAGCTGGATTTGTGGCATTATTCTTTTAAAACCTTCCTTCTTTTTTTTCCTGCATGCTGAGGCCTGTAGCACACCACACCAATATTTCCTCATAGTATGTATTTCTATCAGAAATAATTTTTAAAGTAGAATTTGTATAGGAAATGTTTAGGGGAGAGGAGCTTTGAGAGCATGCAGGAGGAAGTGTAGGCAACATCCAGGGTATTCAGCACTAACTTTATTACTAGTTGAATTTTCACTGGTAGGGACTGTACGGGCTATTAGCAGTGACTTCAAGCAGTCTTGACTCCAATAATTTTCCACTCTGGAGATGTTATCAAGTTTCATAATCAGGTGCAAACATAGGGCAAAATTTTCTTCCTCAATATGCAGTGCGAATCTACAGTGCAGATAAGAGATTTGAAGTGCATATCTGAGAGGATTTTGCTCCATAGCCCTCAACCTTCAAGACCCAATTACGTGATATTGGCCTTTAAAAATGTGTGAGAAAGAGTCAAAATGAAAGGATATATCAAAGAACAGCACAAGCAGCAATTTCATTTTGCATGTATAAAGTTTTCCATAACCACAGTTTTATGATTCAGCGTTTCTAATGTCAATAATTTACAATAATAAACTCTGTGATAACACCAGCTTTGTGTGGTACAGAGATAAATTTGGGTCTAAAGATCCCATGGCTCTTTTTGCAAGAGTAAGGTATTAACCCTGCTGTCCTGGCCAAATTCCAATTTTTTCTTTTACATTCTGCCTGCCAAAAATTTCCCCTAAAGTTTCTACTGGATACGATATTCTTCTTCACTCTCTGTTGTGTAATGTTGCTGTTAAACAGCTGTTGCATTTCATCCCAAAGGTGACTGCATTTCAGGAGGATAGTGCATAATGAAGTCTAGTTTATGGTTAACAATAAAACTAGTGACATCTCCTAAGCAGGTACAGTTCAGAAATAGAGTTGCAAATTTCCTTTCCTTCCCGTCACCCAGTGTAATGACTTCTGATGTTATAAATACATTTTTTCTTTTAGAATAATGTGATCTTTTATGACATTTTATGCTTATATGCTTCAATGGTTGCTTGAATGAGTTCATTTGTGTTTGAGGAAGTGACTAGTCTGTCCTCTTCCAAAGAAGCTTAAATGATAAAAAGGGACAGAAACAGTGTTCTTGGGTGATGCACTGTGATCTCCATTTGATAAACTGCGTCAGTTACATTTAACACGCTTAGCTTATTTTATTAGCTAATAAGCTGGATAGGTAGTAAAAGCAACTTACACATGTTGTTATATTTTATTAGCCACAAGTTGAAATAACACAACTGGCATCACTGAAGTCCTTTTCATTTCCTGGCATTGGCAGAAACATTTAAAAAATACATACAGTAATTCTGTATATTTGTGCCCACATATATAGGATACTTCATGTGCTCCAGGCTGGTCTCCAAGAAAGTGGTGGTGGAGGTGGTGGAGGTTGTAGGAAGAGGTCAAAGGGGCAGCTGTGAATTAAAACACTTCTGCTGATGGCTCAGTGTTCATCAACAAGTCTCTAGGTACGTTAAACATACCTAAAAGTGGACAGCAGGGGATTTATAATCCCTTCAGGGAGAAGGAGCCTTGGGAGAAGTGGATGCTGTGTGATTTGGAATAATTCTGGGGATTTATATTGCCTGAAAGACACAGGGCTGGCTTGTGCAACCTTTGCATTGGTGAGGCAAGTAGTAGTCTCATTGGCTTCAACAGCAGTACTCACATGAGTGCGTGCTCACCGCCATGGGGAAGGGTTGCACAGTCTGGTTCTAAATAAAGGTTGAGGCAAATTTGTAAAGGAGTGGAGAAGACGGCATGACTGCTGTGCAATTGAAGAAGCTTTTCCCTGGCACTACAGTCTCTCTCTCTCTCTCTCTTTTTTTTAGAAAAAGCAAAACAGTGGCCAGCCATGCTACCTTGTGGCCACGCAGTCAGCTGCCTTCCAAGCATGGAACCTCTCACTCTCAGGCAGGGGCATGTTCAGGAATTTAAATTTGACCCCTTTAGGAGGGGCACCCAGGAGCTCACGCCCCTCCTGCCCTGCCCGGCCTTGGCAGGAACTCTCTCTACCCTCCCCACAGCCCTTGCCCTTGCAGGAGCTCGCTCTTCCCTGCCTCTGTGACCCTGGGGCCAGAGAAGTTCTGTGCCCCCGATGATCATTGGGGGTGTGTGTGCCCCTGCTTGTCCCCCCTTGTGCACACCCCTGCTCTCAGGTGGTGGTGCTAAAGGGTGCTGCAGAGGCCGTGAGGGAGGAAGCCCTTTACGTTACTATGCAGAGAACCCTGGGCTGTTTGCAGAACACCGTTGTTAGGGTTCAGAGAGGGCCTTGCGAGCTGGCACAGACAGGGAGTACCATGCCACGACAAGAGGCCTTGAAGGCAAAGGAATAACGTGCAGCCGATCAGGGGTAGGGAGCCATAGGACTTGGGAGCACATTCTCCAAACCAGCTGAGTAACCACAGCCCGGAAAATGGATCCCACATTGGGAAGAATCCATTTTTCAGCTACCTTTCACTTAGTCCCTTTGTGCCAGATAGAAGAATAAATTCCAATTCCTTTTGCAGCAGCTTCTTGTTTAAGTTCAACTTCAGCCCCAGCTGCCTCTATTTCTGAGTGACGGTAAATGACACACTGGTTTGGGTTGACGGAGAGGTTTAAAGCTGCCTCCAGTGACAAAGACCTTTCAGATCTTCAGGGGCCCAAGAGTCCAGGGTCCGTGAATGGGTACGTGTGATATTCATTTTAAAAGAATGCAAACAAAAGTTAAGTCATGTACTGCAAGGGAAGGAGACTATTAAAAAAATTAAAGTCCCTTTTTGTAAAATGTACCTGTGCCCAGTGAAACAAACCAGCCATAATATTCAGTATCCACTCTCAGCTGAGTTCCCTCCTATCTGTGTCATGATTATGCCCCTAGCCACTCTCTCGGTATTTAAACCTATGTGAAGCTGAAGGTATTTTATGTGCCCAAAACATTTTGGATTTCAGGTCTGTAGAACAAAATAATAGCAAAAAAAAGAAAAGCAATGAACTGTAATGCTACACCCCTGGCTGTGTGGCTATAGTATTCTGAGCACAGTTTTCACACACTAAAGATTTCTCTCTTCTGACTTTGGTTCCCACGATGGACCCAAGCTCAAGCGGTACGGACAGTCTATATGACAATAACTAATACTGAAAAGTGCAGTGTTCCTGCAGCTTGCAGGAGTTTGCAGGTTCCTGCTGTGCAGGACAATGCTGTACAATAGAAATCCTCTGCAGGAATGGGTAACTGCATCTTTATGACTGCATGACCCCCTCGCCCCCACCTTGTGTTGTTTCTTGTGTGATCTGACCATCTGGGATGGAGTGAACTAAGTAAATTCATCCCAAATAATTATCAAAGTAATGAAAAGCCCAACATTTTGGAATGATACAAGGACCCATTCAAGAAATGTAGCCTCTATGTAATTGTAATTATAACCACGCTGTTTCACAGCAGAAGTTGTTTTAAAGCAGTGCAAGGAATCGGTCACATTCCTCTGATTCACGTACAAGGTGGTTTCATTTAGAGTTCACAAACAGCTCTTTGCTATAAAAATACCTTATGAAATGGCTTTGACCTATTGCTTTCTGTGTTTAGTTGCAGGACCCTGAAAAATGACACAATATGCTCTACAGTAGGGCAGGGCTTAAACCAATCATTTATTTATAGCATCAGATTTTTGCAGCTCCAAAAGCATGATCAGTATTTTTCTTCTTGCCACCACAATGGTGACTGTATTTTTCTTTGGCTCCATTAGTAACATGTTCATTGAAAAAAAGGTCACACAGGACTGTGTTTCGGCTTTTGAAATTGTGACGATAATGCAGTGATGCCCACTGACAGGAGAAAGGAGGAGGAAGGCTGCGTCTGCGGATAAGGTGCTGGACTGAGTCAGGAGAGATGCGCTCTCTTTTCCAGTTCTGGAAGTCTGTGTGTGACCACAGGGAAACAACTTCACCTTTCTTGGCCCATATTTCCATAAAGGGAGATTGTGCGACCAAATTCAGTAATATTTGGGAAGCGCAGTGAGATTCTTGGGATAAAAAGCATTAAAGAGATGCAGAGTATATCACATAAGAAAAAATCTGCTTACAAGGAGCCATGCTTTAGGCCGGTTTTTGCATCCTGGCTTGGTTTGTGTCTGGGTAACTTGCCATGCAGCATTTGCACAGCATCTCACCCTTGGCCTGTTCCATGCTAGACAGACAGGTTCGTCTATGGCACTCATCACAGATGATAAAATGGATATGCACACAAACCTCAATGCTGTATGCATACATGGGCTGGGCTTGCAAATCTACCTGATGACATTTTGCTTGTTTTATCCAATGACTTGTGTACACAAAGTTGGGCATGCCCCAAATGCCCCATCAGCAACCTCAAAAGGGGGGGTGGAGGGTACTTAGTTTGCGGTAGGAGGTGCTTGGGACTTTTCAGAATCAGACCCAAATGGAGAGACAGTGCCCCTGGATGCCAAACCATTCCATATGCCTCCCTGTCACAACTGCATTTGTTGCAAGAACAGCTGTTGAATGAATAGAATGAATAGAATGAATAAAAGAAATGTTAGTATTTTTATTCCTTAAGTTATTCTGAGAGTCTGCACAAAGGCCTCTAAACTCTCCTCCATCTTCAGCAGGATTTTGGACACTGTGGGAAATGGGGAAAATGATCTGTACAAATC